TTATAAACAATATTATATAATTCTTTTCATTGTTTTCATACAATATTATTTTCTGAATATAGGTCTTGATTGGTTTCTTGCTCAATTAAATCAATTCAATATGACCGTAATCATGGTAATTATATTCATTTAAACGTAGTATATTATTTTTGTTATAAAAAAAATATATAATTTTTTTTTTTAAAAAAAAAATTGCAGACATTATCAAATTATTGGCATTGGTCAGGTGGATTTGCACAATATGTCAACTGGGCCGATCCATCAAAATCAATTCCTTATCCACCTGATTATTCATCATTTGAACGTTATGCGGCACGTTTTTATTCAGACTTATCGATTTATTCTACAACACAGGCGTATTATCTTGCACACATAAAATCAGTAATCACAAGAAAGAATACTATTACGGGTCAATTATATAAAAATGATCCAAATATTTTTGCATGGGAATTAGCTAATGAACCACAAATTATTAACGTTGGTGATAATAGCCATGATATTATATTTAAATGGATTGATGATACTGCTAAATTCATTAAAGGCTTTGATGAAAATCATTTGATTTCTACTGGTGCAGAAGGAAAAAATGGTATAGATTGGTTTATTACTATGCATAAAAGCCCGCATGTTGGTAAGTTAGTTTTTATTATTTATTAATATTTGTTATGGAACGACTTAATAACGTTAATTTAATGATCTTTAGATTTTACCAGTGCTCATATATGGGTGGAAAATTGGGGTTATTACAATTCAGATGATTCTTCATTAGAGAATTATCAAAAAGCTGAAACATTCATGTTAAATTTCTTACAAAATGTTAGTGATTGGTCTACACAAAAATTAAAAAAACCCTTATTAGTAGGAGAATACGGTATTGCAATTGGGGGGGGGGGGGGGGTTTTGTTATTTTGGCTGCTTAATATTAAATTAATTTCATCAATCTTCATTTTATTTAATTAGGAATGGCAAGAGATGCTTGGTCAGGTGTATCAAAGTATTCACCTCTTGCCACCACAATTAATAAAGAAAAATATTTTACTTCGTTAGCTAATAAAATATTCGAATTGGAAAAACAAAAGGCTTGTACTGGACACGTATTTTGGGCATTTTCTGGTATCGCTAGACCAAGTGATCCTACTCCCACTTGGATCGGTGATCCTCCACATGAAAGTAAGTTGATCAATTTTTCTAAAATTATTTGAATTAAGAAGGGGAAGGACTTAACTGAAAATATTTTGTACCTTTTAGCACCGGGTTGGTATTCTGTGTATGATTCCGATAAAAATGTACTCAATATATTTGCTAAGCATGCTAAACAAGTAGATGAATTATATTAGGACAACTACATTTTTCTTAGTTAATCGAATATGTCTTATTGTAAATAAAAAAAACCCGCAATGATTTAATTCTCGCAATATACTTACACGTGATTATAATAAAATATTTTTTTCAATTTAAATTAAACTTTTGCACAAAAAAAATTCTGGTCAATCAAATCTTCCAAAACACCAATTATGTCTAAAGGAGGTTAAATTTTATTGTTACACGAAAATATATTGTTAATCTATCTACAAAACAACAAATCGGTGATCCTTATTTTTTTTATTGAAAAAGAATAGAAAAATGCGCGTGATTTCTTTAGAAAATTCATACAACAAAATTAATTACTATTGATTTGTTTATGATTTCTATGAAAAATTTTATCCTATCTCAATTATAATCAATTAATCATTTATATACTGTATATATGTTCTCTTAAAAAATAAATTGTTCTTAGCAACAAACTTTGAAAAAATAGTGAGAACTGTGACTGTTTCCTAATTGACAGATTAGATACGTCTGGTACTTTTTACCTAACGATTCGAATTTGTGATCTCAAAAATCAACGGTACTTATTAAAATAGAAGTTGAAAATAGTCATCAAGAGAAGATCTTTTCCGAATCTAAATTAGAAATAAAAAACAAAAGACGACAGGCACAGAGTGGGCAATTTTCAACTTGTCGCAATGGTAAATGCAACCTTATCATATATCTACTTGCTCATTTTCAATTGTGGTTCAACAAGGATTTTATTTAATACAATTGAATTTATACTAAGAATTTAAGAAATATTATTTTAAACATTTAGTTTTATTAAAGAATATGAACAAGTACTTATTTTCACAATATGATTTTTTTTTAAAAAGATAAATGGTTGAAATTTTCCTATAAAAAATTTTATTATTAACTTAAATTTTAAATATGCTTTATATTGGAATTTTACTTTAGTGATTGGACTCGAGTGAGTGATTTTTAATTCGCGACGTTAATAAGTTAATCAAAAATGGTATATTTTTATTATAAACTCTCGATTATATTAAAATGTACTTTCTTGCGATTGCAACTTTTTAACTTATTCTCTATGAATCCATTAGTAAACTAAAAATAGCAAATTTCATTTCAAAAACGGTCTCGAATCTCAAAAATAACGTTCAAAGTGAGAATCCTATGAGGAAGATGATACTCAAAGCACTACAATTAACTCGATCTCAGGACGTACTCTTAAGAACTTCGTTTGTACAGTTTCGTATTATGATGGTCCGATAATTTCAAAAATCATTCTTCTGGATTTTTTATTTAAAAGTCTTGATTAATAAAATGTTTATAATTTATTTTTATAATCGCGACTCGAATAACCCGAGTTGAAACTCGAATATTTACCTCGATCACATGATTCGAGTTCTCTTCTGAGTTTAATTCACGAGTCACTCACTATATTATATGTTTAAAAATCACATTAAGTTTCCAAATTCCAAGTATGTTTTGAGTTATTCGCATTACAGGATCGAGTAAACTTCATCTGATAAAATGAAGTATGAATAATTTCTATGAAGTAAAATGAATCTTCGGATATTTTGTTGATTTTTATTAGGTAAGGAATATTTTTAGTTTTCGAGAAATGTATGATAGCATTTATTTTTTGGTAATTATTGCATTCGTTACATTGTAATAGTGAAAAGTCTCCTTTTGTAGTTGTAATTCAAATTTCTACGAAAATACACATTATTACTAGCGATTGTGATATTATTATCACTTAACGATAATGTTCTTTCTTTTAAACTCGTTCATGATCCAAAAAATCCATGTTCATCCCAAAACAATTTTACGGATCTTTTTAAATTGATATTAAGGTTATAAAGTTTATTAGTATTAATTAATTCGTGCAAAAAAAACTCTATTGCTATATAAATAATACGTAAGTCGAATATACACCTTGATTACTTTTTTCTTTTGATTAAGTTGCGTATTCTTCTTGAAGTGTACGATTCAACAAATGATTTTATCCTAACATCCCGGAATTCTTATTAATCGACTAATTCATACGAATACGAAATTGTCGTACCGTTTAAAATAAAATGTTACTTGAAATAAAAAAAATGTATATATTATTAATTTGAGTGTAAGGCTCACATACGATAATATCATTGCTTGTTTATTTTGTTTATTTCTTGCCAACTTTAATAAACTTGACATTGCAATACAAAAAAAATTTAACAGGCAGAAAAAGTAAAACATTATTCAAACAAGAATTTCTGATACTATTAATATTATTCTATTTTGGAAACTAATTTTGCATGTATAGTATTTTTTAAAGTTAAATTGCAGCTTTACTTTTCGTATTCTGCTTGCATTAAATCACGGAAATATTTTCTTAAACAATATTCATAAAGTGATTCCATTATGGTATTTTAAATAATAAAGGATTTAAGAAAATTTCTATAATTCGAGAGAGATCAAGTAAGAATGTCATTGTGCAATTGCTAATAGTCTCGTGGAAAGGTAATAATAGAATGGATTTCCAGGGAGAAGAAAATTTTCACACTGGGAAGATATTTTTTCCATACTACTCTGGGGAAATGATACGAGAGGAGAACTATTGTCGATTATGATAGGGAACTACAAATAATAATAAAAAAGGGCTTACAATTAGTTTATTAAAGCAAGTTTTCCTCTCAATTATTCTTATTGATTTAAATCTGCAAAAAAATTTTTTAGGATAGGAGATTTCGGAAAAATCAAATTTCTTGGAATAGGGTTTGGAAGATTATTAAAAGAGAAATGAAGAATATGAATTTTTTTTTATGGAAAAGGAAGTTTAATTTAGGCATAATTTTTTATTAGTAAGTATAAGGTATGATGTGCTCGAAAATTTATTCTCTCTCCGTTTCTTTATCTAAATAAAGTATATTATAAGTATATTATATATAATGCAAGCATTCTTGTAAGGATTTCTTTTAATATACTGTTTAAAAGATTATGGGTTTTTTGTGGACGGAATTTCGGTTTGCAAGTAATTTATAATTTATTACAGTCTTCATTTCATCGAAAAATTCCTTAAAGTTAGAAATTATTATGCGTAGTTGTTAATTTGAGCAAAAGTATTGTTAACAAGTGCAAAAGACAATAATCACATAATAATTTTTTTTTTGTTTATATGTTACATAATTCCAAAATAATCCCTCTTATCACTCCACCCGCTATAATTTATAAGATTACACACTCATAAAGAAGGACTAGACTACATGGTGCAAATCGACCCCTATCCGAAGACATGGGGACAGAGTCAGCCTATAACCATCGCCCCCCTCCACAAGAGGGAGTCTAAACACCCACAAAAGTGAATGCAAACTGAGGAATGAATAAATGAATTCTATCCTTATTTATATTAAAAAGTGAAAAATTGTGAAATTATGGGATTCAAAGATCTTCATAATATACACTATTTATGGAAATATATGATGATCATCTATTAAATCACATTACAGGACAGACATAACGTGATTTTAGTAATTTTAATAGCCAATAACATATAATATATTCGTATATATGGGGCCTTTGCAATAGAAAGGGGGGAAACTGCCGGAAAATCAAAAATGAGTTAATGCCGGTAGTTTCCCCCCTTTCTATTGCAAAGGCCCCATATATTAATTTTGTCATTTTTTCATTTTATTTTTTCCAAAATGGGTAAACCTTCAAAATTATAACATTCGTTTACGACAACGAAAAACTAGATCTTAATATACAAAGAAATAAAGGAAAAGGAAGAAGAGATCGATGAATTGCAAGTCGAAATTCAAAATTTTCAAAAATTTATTAAAGAAGCCGGAGAAAAAGTTTATGGTGAATTGAACAAATCTGAACAAATAAAGAACCTCGAAAAAGGATTACATTATTTCATTTGAAATTCTATACATCTTCTTCAAACACACAACCGTCATAGCCACAACAATCATCGCAGCCCTATTTCAAAAGTATGGATAATACTTTAAATACGAAAAGGAAAATAAGAAACAATGTACTATTACCATTATTAATTTTTTTATAGAATTTTATTCATTATTTAAAGCTCATATTTAGAAAAAACAAACAAAAAATGATTGATTCGAACCGTTATTGAATTGATCGTAAATCAATTACAAAAACCGAAGAGAAGGCTTGGCAAGATTTATCAAAATTTCTTTGTTTGCTTTATATCAAAATTTTATTTTTATTTTTTTTATATGCTGTTTGCTTTATATATAAAACTACAAAAAAAAAATGCCAAATTAAAACAAAGATCAATCGAAATTAAATCAAAAAATGAACATCCAAATAGTCTGGTCGTAACGTTTAAAACTCAAATAAAAGTAATATAACGAAACTAAAATTAAAAATCTCAATAATATCGATGTTAATCATCCAAGAATAAAGTCTTACACGATACGAAATTAAAGAAAAAAATCTTAGTTCACAGCTTGCTAGATTCGCATTAAATTTGGTTAAGAATCAATGTTGGAATTGAACCAACCAGAAAAAACAAAATAAAAAACTAGAAATTCCTGTACCATAATTATTTTTACATGCGCTCGGAAAGAATATACAAATTAACGACAGTGATCCGGTCTGATTCCTCGCATCAACTGAAGAAGTATGCCTCGTCGAGAAAATGATACAAGTGGTATCATCCAGAATCATAATACAAATAAACTATTTTAAAATAGGAGAGAGAACATAAATATGTGTTTATTTACTGCAAAAAAAAATAACTGTCAGTTCTGCATTTGATCAAGTTTCAATAGTTCGATTTTCTTTATGAACAACTGGTTAGACGTAATGAATAAAAGCCGATAGACCAAATTTAGAAATGTGACATGTCTGTGAAGTTTCTACTCTTCTCATTGCATCATTGCATATAGTTGGATCGATCCGATAAGCCACCTTTCAATACGCGAGAATATTTTCTTGAAAAGGTAATATAACATATCAACTGATTAATTAGCCGTAGTCATTTAGAAGATTTTAAATTTTATTTTTTTCAGTCAGAAAATGGACAACATGGGTAAATTGTACCATGATCTCGATTACCGGAACTTTTTAGAAACTGATGGAAATATATTTTTTTGAGGTAGCGAAACATGCGTTTTTATAAAACGAAACATTTTTTTTTTATTAAAATGGTTTTTTTATTTATTTATTGTATTACAATATTAATAATACATACAGTATATACAGTAAATTTAATTTACATCGAATATCACGTTAATAAAAAAACTAATTGCTGATCTCTTCCAATAATTTCTAAACCGAAGACACAGCAGTACCTGATCGAAACTATGAATAAAACTATGAAATTATATTACTGTAATAATATTTTTAATATTTTCCTAACAGTTTTTATTATCATTTTCAAAGAAGGAAAAAAAAGAAATCAAAAAAGAATGTAAAAATCTTTGGGTTGTACGAAAGAAATATTGACGTCTTTTTTTCTGTACATAACCCTGATTTAAACAGGTTTTTAACAAACGTCAAATGGCATCATATTTTTTTTTCATTGGATGAAATACTTGAAATAAATTTATAGATATAACGTTTCTAAAAATTTCTTGTTGGATGATGGTTAAACAGCTAAATTAAGCAATATTAAATATGGGATGGATTGTAGAATAAAGATAATTATTTTATATTATATGACGGATGACGAATACATTACATTATACTATAGAATTAATATAACGAAAATTTAGATCTTACATCATCAATTTTTATATTGATAACCAAGTTCTTGCATCGTATCCTCACTCTCCAACACACCTAAATTTACTAAATAACTTTTGCTGAAATTTTTTGAACGCACAGCTTTCCGACATATATAAATAGCCCAAATAACTTTCGCTGAAAATTTTTTAACGCGCACTTCTCGCTTTTACAAGGTATTTGTTGTTAGTAGTTGTTTTCCATTCTGGTTACGAGCTCAACAATATTCGCGAAATATTGTATGACCTACTGGTTCGACACCCGGGATGTTCATTTCTATAGACAAGTATTACCCTAGTGTTATATCGGATTGATAAGAAATTAACTTTACGAGTTCGTTCCCTTAATACATTGACTCTTAATATCTGACTCCCAACCTCCCTAAACACGAATTCCTTACTTTTTCAATGAATACTTGGATTACAAATCTAATATTTACTTTTTATTCTAATAATTAGGCATTTTGGCGGAACCAACCCTTTTGACTACTAAAAATTTGAACGCGTTCCTCCTACATTTCACACTCTTGATAAGGTATTTATTTTCAGAGTAGTGGTTTTCCATTCTGGTTACGAGCTCATCAATATTCGCGAAATATTGTATGACCTACTGGTTCGATACCCGGGATGTTCATTTCTATAGACAAGTATTATCACAGTGTTATATCGTATTGATAAGAAATTATCTTTATACGAGTTCGTTCCCGTTAATACATTGACTCTTAAGATCTGACTCTCAACCGCCCTAAGCACGAATTCCTTACTTTTTTAATAAATACTTGGATTACAAATCTAATATTTACTTTTTTATTCTAATAATTAGGCATTTTGGCGGAACCAACCCTTTTCACTACTAAAAATTTGAACGCGCTCCTCCTACATTTCACATTTTTGATAAGGTATTTATTTTCAGAGTAGTGGTTTTCCATTCTGGTTACGAGCTCATCAATATTCGCGAAATATTGTATGACCTACTGGTTCGACACCCGGGATGTTCATTTCTATAGACAAGTATTACCCCAGTGTTATATCGTATTGATAAGAAATTAACTTTACGAGTTCGTTCCCTTAATACATTGACTCTTAATATCTGACTCCCAACCTCCCTAAGCACGAATTCCTTACTTTTTCAATGAATACTTGGATTACAAATCTAATATTTATTTTTTATTCTAATAATTAGGCATTTTGGCGGAACCAACCCTTTTCACTACTAAAAATTTGAACGCGTTCCTCCTACATTTCACATTTTGATAAGGTATTTATTTTCAGAGTAGTGGTTTTCCATTCTGGTTACGAGCTCATCAATATTCGCGAAATATTGTATGACCTACTGGTTCGACACCCGGGATGTTCATTTCTATAGACAAGTATTACCCCAGTGTTATATCGTATTGATAAGAAATTAACTTTACAATTCGTTCCCTTAATACATTGACTCTTAAGATCTGACTCCCAACCGCCCTAAGCACGAATTCCTTACTTTTTCAATAAATACTTGGATTACAAATCTAACATTTTTATGTTTATTTTTATTTTAAATAGGTATTTGCGTGCTCATGCCTAGGTTATTTTTTCCGATCATGTTTAATACGAAATCATTTTATTTTTATTTTTGATGTGTTGTATATATCACTTTTTATTTATTACTTAAATTGTAAAAAATTTAAAAATGTTTTAGCAAAAATGTTAGCGAGACGTACTTTATATATCAGAGAGTTAATTAACCAAACCATCAAATTGTTAAATCTATTATTCTGCGGTAAAAAATCCTGTTTTGGTTAGGTTAATAGTAAACACAAAAAAAATAAAATAAAAATAAAAATTTTTTACTTTCAGAAGTTATCGCAATCATCTTTTTTCTTTTGTTTATCATCATTCATGTAGAAAATAATTTGTTTTCGATCAAACTATTCTTAAAATCATTCATTGGATATTTTTTTTGAACGTATGAATTATCTTAACCATCTCCAAAGAAAGATGTTATTCAACAATTCAACCACTTTTTGTTAAAAATTTTAATTTTTGCATAATGAATGCTTCCAACATCAAATAAAAGAACCTATAAACCTAAAATTAATTGATCATATAATATAAATAATAAATAAATAAAAAGCTATAAATATTATCTCATCGATGAACCGATAGAATTTTGTGCTATGAAAATAACGTATGCTTGCTGCGTATGCTGCGGATTCAATTCTGGGAGAAAACAAAAGGTATAAATAGGGAAAACTCTGCGAGCAAAATATAAAAATAAAAAAATTTAAATAAAGAGAATCCCTTTTTTACTTTCATATCGATATTTATAAGATAAAAAAATTTTTAACGTTTTACCTTTCACTTCCATCTTTTTACACATTCAAATTTTGATTTAACACTATTAACTCTATATTCAAAAATGGATCAACCTTCATATCATAATGACCATAATGAAATTCATGGCCAAAATGAAGGGAATGAATCTTTTTATTCCGGATCCATTAATAATGGATTGAATAATTCAAACAATATGATTCAAATGGAACATTCATATTTAAATTCTCAAATCCATTGTAATGATGTAAATCTTCCTTGTAGTTCTGCTAATCTCACGACTAGTAATAATAATAATTACGAAAATACTACTAGTAATTATTCTATAAATAATCATCATGGTACGCAATCAATCACCACAAATATGCATGCCATCCCTACAACACAGCAATCTCCATCTACCTCTAAAACTCCTAAGAATTCATCACAAAACATTCTGAATCAAAATAATTATGCAGAACTATTTAAGATTGAAATTAAAGGAATTGAAATCATTATTAGGCAAAAATCTTTACCGACTTTAAATCAAAATTATTTTGAAATACAAAATCAACCTCCACAACAGAACGAACATCAAAATCGGATGATTTATCCGTACCCTGATCAAAATTTTAGATATAATAATAACAATCGAATTGGTTACCAACAACAACTTCAACACCATCCTTGTTATTATTATTACCCTAGCCCACAGTACTGACTGACGACATCACAATAATTTCATAATCGTAGAATTTCTGCTGGATGGGAATTCTATCAATGTACAAATGTGCAAATTTCTAATATAAATCAATCTATTTGTTATCTTTAACCTTTAATATTAGTAAATACTTTTTCATTATTTATAATGGCTACACAAATTTCATAAATTAATGAGGAAGTATCATTTGATACTATAACAATGTATTTGAAAATAAACATAAATAAATTTTATTTGAACTCTCGTATTTGAGAGAAATCAGTAAAAAAACCTTATTTTTGAGGAATGATACAAGATAAACCATTTTTATTTAATAATTTGTAAATAAAAGATAAAAATATCTGCCGAGAGATCGCGCATTACAAAATTTAAACTTGCAGGTTACATCCTACGGGAAAATTCGTTGCAAGTTTGATGATTTGAAAACCTTCATCGACTGTTTGATTTTCCCGAGAAAATATGGTTGAGATGCAGTAATACAAATAAATTTTTACCAATAGAAAACCCCAAGAATAATTGTAAAAATATATATTTATATTATGACAATCTTTTTTTTTATTAAAAAAAAAAGTGAATTTTTACTAAAAAAAAACCCTAGTTCCTGGCTAGTTTTGACAATTTAAAAATTCCAACAATTAAAGAGATATTATGTCAAATCAAATTTTAACGATTCGTCAGTTTCGAGTTGATTTTTTTTTTTAAAAATATATTTACAATGTAAATCATAAATTTCTTTAAAACTTTAATCTGAACAGATTGGTCAACAGGTAAATAAACTTCTTGCAATTACATATTAGAAATTTGATTGAAAGAATCTGTAATTCAATTTGATTATAAATCAACAATGTTGAAAAAAAGAATCTCGTAATGATTCATATTTATGATAAAAACATGTATATAAGAAGTAACTTTGACACCAAAAGAAATTTATTTTCAATAATAAATAATTTTACGATACAATATCATTTACTAACATGGATCAAAATTCTTTGAACCCTAACGTTCGTAATGTTCACGATGCCAAAAATTTCACCGGGTCCAATTGAACATCATATATGTCCAAATCCAACACTGTCCATAAGGCATGAGTCTATTATTATACTCCATAAATTTGAGTTGAACCAGTACTCGAGTAAATACGGCAGATCTCAATTATAATGTCTTCTATCGAAATATGTTTTTTTGAAATCCACAGAAACCTGATGATTATGCACACCAACTTCATCAGCATCCTCGATAACGTTAAACATTTGTGCAGAATTATTATCATTGCCGACCTTCGATTCTGACTGTAATAACACATCATCGCTCTTATTTTCATCATAATCCGAATCATCGTTATCAATTTCTGGAAAATCTTCAGCTCATTTAGTAACATTTGAAGTCCCAATGGCATTGATCTGTGCAAAATATATTGTTACCCATACTATATGGGTATGGGATAAAGTCCCAATCCCATTCAATCCCAAAATCCTATTGCTTAGACTAAAACTTTAATAACAAATAATATTTCTGTCGAATACTAGATTCAAAATATTTGGCTATTTAGTTTCATCTTGATAAGATGAATTAAATAATCCATTTTGACCACAGCCTCTACATCGTTCCTTACTGCTTTCACTTTGCATGATGTCATCATTTTGACTGCATCGTTTTGCTCTTTTGATACTATCTAGTGAATTGAAATTAAATTTCATCGCTTACGTAAACTCTCTTATCTGGTTGTCTCTTGGAATTTTGTCGACTCAATTCTCTATGTAATTTATCCATCTCAAGGTATATTTTACCTGTTTGCTGTATACCTGCCTAATTAAAACAATAAAATCAGTTATATTCTTATTATAAAGGTTTTTTTTTTTAAAAAAAAAAGCATAACTTACTGCTAGTCGAATAAACTAATATTTTATTTCTGTAGGTAGGATATTGACTAAGATATACTTAAAAATAATATATAAATTGAATGAGATTTGTGATTTTAGAATTGGGATTTGGGAAATGGAATTGGGATTTTAATATAATGGGATTCTAAAGTATAAGGAATGGGTAGCAAATATAGTACAAAACCAATTAGAATAAGAAGAAAAACACTTAGCAATTAAGCAATCGACAAACATTAAATTATCTATAATCTCGAATACTCACTTGTTTGGCTTGGTTAGATGTTTCAGAGCGCCTTTTCACTTCCTTAACATGTACTGATGAAATTGTTGTTTCTATCTTTCGAACGTTCTTATCCATATAACGATAAAACTGATCCTGTCATTAACAAAAAAGGGTTATGTTAGTGGAAGGAAAAGAAATTTACAAATTTACAAGACCATATAATATTTTCCTGCAATGAAATCAATAAAATGGCTCATAATAATAAATAGTTATGATTTTCGTTGTACCTGCTCATCTTTATTTTTTTGCTGTTGAAAAATTTCGCCAGCTTTCGTGGATATTTAGGACGAAATCTAAGAAAAAGATTATCAACATGCATTTTATAATAAAAAAATCACCGTCAAAACACCCTCCACAGATAAATTAGTAACTACCATTTCCTAGCTTTCTTGGAACGCAATTCGTATATCTATAATATGCAGACTACCTGGCAGATCAAGGGAATCACTTATAATTATAATGGCTGACAAAGCGTTCTAGAGAAAGCATCTATTCTGATGGCGATAGACGCTCTGCTGAATTCTCACAAAACCATGATCCATCAATACTTATTGATTTGTTGATAATATCCAGCGTGCAACTTACTCTTAGATTCTTAATTATCGCTTTCACTTTTTTTGTGACTAAATTCATAGTGTACGGGTCATTAAACACGTCTATCGCTCTTTATCACTTCTTGTTTGATTGACGTGAGAGTTTTCAAGATATTGTAGAGTATGCTCGAGCCCCCAATTTTTGCAGTTCCTGATGTAAATTTGATGATAGTCATGTCAAGATTTGTGGGAATATGCAGTATCATAAGAATTACTTAAAAAAACCTAAATATCACGAATGACGTAAACATTCGCGCAGTGATTTAATTTATATTTATTTAAAAATAATAGATTTATACATGTAATATATTTTAACTAAAATTAAAAAAATGGTTAGAACTTTACATAATAATTCATAATAATTGATTGAAATTAACCAAATTTATTTATTATAATAGCATTTCATATTAGGCCTGCTTAAAGTTCAGAATTAAGAATTATGATTTAAAGGTTATAATCAAAAAAAAATTCTAATTGTAATTAGTTAAGAAATGAATAAAAAGCAATTTCTAAAAATGATTGAGAATTTAGTTAATACTGTAGTATGTTAAAATAAATTCGGATAATAATAACAATAGAAGATAATATTAATTATTTAATACAAAATATAAAACTTATTTTATTTTTTAATAATAATTATTTGTATTTTTTATCATTTATACATTTAAAAATAAGTTTTATATTAGTTTAAAACAAGTTTATAAACTTTTAGATAAATTTTATATTTTTTATAACAAAATGAAAAAATTAAAAGAAAAGAAATTTAAGTTTAAATTTAATTATATTATTAACTAAAATATAATTAAATAATAATAATGAATTAAATAATAATTATAAGTTAATTATATAATATCATAGTAAATATATTAATTTTGGTAAATATACAGTTATTACATATTAATACCATAATTTTTTAAATTTCTGTAAAGTAAACTATAGAATAGGGATCGTTACTAAGTCTAGAATTTGTGTAATATAAATAACCAATCATATATTGACTTAATTTTTAAACAAATAGACATGCGAACATCTTGATTAATTAAAAATTATAATATAACTTCAATCAAATACTTCTATTAAATCTTACTAGTCAAATAAAGTAATTCAAATAAATTTCATATATCTAATAATGCTATTCTTTAATGTTAATTTAAATTTAAATTTAAATTAAATCTAATAATTTTAAATAAATTATAACTTATACTTAATACAGATCAGATTTTTATTATGAATTTTAGTTAAATTATGTTAGATGACTTTATTATCAACTTTAATAGATAAAAAGAAATATTAATACTTTTAAATATTTTCTAATATATTTATAATATTTTTCTGATATAAATATATAAATTTCTGATATGAATTCTTTTATAATTACAACAGATTTTTAATATGAATACAATAAAATTTTAATATTTTATATATTTTAAAATAGAGATTTAGTATAAATATAATATTTATATAAAAATTTATATATTTATTCAAAATGATAAGAAGATAAATTACCTAAACTAGTGTATTATAGGATAGCTTAAAATTATTATCCATAAATAATTGATTATTATACCACCTTTTTCTTTCTACTTTTATATTCTAAATGCTTTTTTATATCAATTAATATATCATAAAAACTTTGAATTTATAGATAAAATTTTTAATTAATAAAATATAAATGATTCTTATTTATTATTTACTTACTTTATTTGATTTCTACTGTTTATTATACATATAAAGTATATAGTTTGAATTTTTATTTTATGATAAATAAATATTTATACTTTTTTCTTCTATTTTTTCTGTATCTGATATTTAAGCCTTTAATTTAATCATTCTATAGTATTAAAGGTTGCAGATTTATTAGCTTCTGATTTTAATATTTATCGTATGATTGAATCCTCTTTGCTGTTCTTTATTTTTTTTTTGTAGAAACTAAATAAATAAATATATAGTGAAAAAAATATTGTATTTAATATATAAATATTTTATCAAAGTATTATATTTATTACTTTTATAATAATAAAGGTTTTGTAAAATTTTCTTTAACTTTATATTAGTATATTAAAATCAATTTTTTAATACCTTTTTTATAGCTAATAAAATATGTGAACATTTCTAATAAAATTACATTACAGATCATATGATTTACTATGTCTTATAACTTGATTTTACTAAAAATATTTCCATATATTCCTTTTAATTTCAAGTCAATATTTATATGGTTAATAAATAAAGAGTTATTAAAATCCTTTGATATTTGAATGATCTCAGTAATAAATAAATAAATTATATTTTTTCCCTACAAATATAACACATTTTTCTATAATACCCTTTTTATATATATCCATATATTTCTATGATTTTTATGCAAAATGCCTCATTTAAACTAATGAAATAAAATTTAATACTATTGAAACTTTTGTTATCCATTTTATATATAGTCATAATGCTCACATGTATACTTTTTACTGCTTTCTAATGTATTTTAATAAATTTAATTTACAATAAAATTTGCGATAAAAATATATTTATATTTAGTTTTCTCAATCATTATTTTTAATTTTAACCTTTATGTAAGAAAATTTAGTTATAAAGATATAATTTATGTGTATAAAAATCAATTCTTATTGAATCTATTATTTTATTTTTTTCTTTATATAATTAATAATTAAGATGCAAACTATTATATCATAATTCTCTTTCAATAATACTTATTTAATACTTTTAGGTTAATTTAGATATTTTAATGATCAAAAGGAAATACCATTGATTGTAAAATATTTTTTGATTTAAATACAATATCTTTTATTACTGACTATTATCTATCTAGATAAGATTCATATATTGTATACACAAAGCATTATTTGCTATTGTTTCATAATTAGTACTATTATCAAAAACAAAACTAGCAGTTGTATTTAGATGTATTATTTTAAAAATTGAAATAACAAAGTCTTTTACTTATTCAATCAGATATTTTACTATTTACTATCTCTCTACATTCTTATCTGAAAATAAAAATTTGAGCATCTTGCAGAATTTTAGGATGTACTTAAATTTGTTTATCTGTTAATTTAAATAATTTATAAATAACTAATTGTTTCTAAAAGAAATTTATTAACCATTATTAACTTTCCTTATCCTTTTTTATGAAGAGGTAATTCATTGAGAGGAACATAAATAATAGGATGATTATCATTAACATAAAAAATACTTATTGTAAATTATAAAAATATAAGACTTTTTTCTTCAAATAAAACTGTATCTTTTTGATCTATATTATCTTCTTTAAATATTAGCATTAAATATTCAAATTCTTATATTTTATTAAGAAATTTAGTCCTATATTCTAATATATCTGAACGCTTATATCTATCAAAGTAAATACTGTTTTTTAAGATTGTAAAATAAGTCTAAGTTTTCTTAATTATACTTTATCTGTTTTTTAGAAATTGATACAGTTATTCTCATTTGTAAAAAGAGAAGCTTTCTTCAATCATATCTTCATCATTAACAAATAATTTTATTTTTTTGATAACAATCTTGCATTAATACTGATAATACATTATTTTTAACCCAACTTTTTTTTAATTTTTTTTGTAAAATATGATTCTTTATTAAAATTTTTTTTGCAATAACTAATGCAACTTTTTTACAAATCATACTTTTTTCATTTCAATTAATAAATAATATATAAACTAATAATATCTTAAATACTCATATGCTGATATATTTTTTATTTTATTTAAGAATTATTTAAGAGCTTCTATTTTTTAGTAAAATTATTACCATTATTATTTATTTTAATTAAAGATGATACAGCAATTGATTTCAAATTTACAAAATGTTGCAACATAAGCTAAAATTAGTTGCAACATATGT